CTATGATTTGAGCATTTAAAGTCATTGCACTAGCCGTGATTCAACACTAAGGCGCCGTACACTTTAATTCAATTAGCGACTTCTCGGTTAATGTTTTTCAATTTAGGAAAGTGTACCTCATATGAAAGGCTCATAACCAATTGTATTGGAAGAACTACAATATTTTAAAATGGTACAAAAATGAAATCCATGGTCGTGTACTCATCTAAGCCGAGAAAAATGTTATCTTTTTCTACCACAAAAGTTGATAATGTCAATGTTTGGTGCATCGATCCAGCTACAGAGAAGTTGACCTTTTATGCGACAAAAAATTCCAAATCAAAGGAAAATAGCCAAACATCCAACCATTAGAGCTGGTTTCTATCGCTAACTTTACACCCACAAGTGAGTTTTCTACTACAGACATCAAAGGGGAGTTAAGAGTGTATCCTCAACAGACCAGTTAATCAGAAACCAATAAAAATGGAAACTGCTGAAAAATTAAAATGCTAAGGATTTTCAGTGGGTAGGAAGAGATTCGCATGGGGTTTTGTGACTTGGGCGGCTTTATTATCCCACTCAACCCTAAGATCATCGTTCTCAAAGCAGCCGTATATACAGCATGTTAATCTCTTCCACGAGCCACTTATTTCTGTAGACAGGATGCTTGGGGAATTTGGCGCCATGTGTAATGACAAAGATTAGCTTCAGCTCATACTCCGCGAGCTTCATATTGTTCAAAATGCTCAGCAGGCAGTTTACCGGTACCAGATGAACAGCAGCTCAGTAACAGAACTGAGTTGAAAAGAAGGGTGTGGCTCATTCATTGCTTATATAACCGCAAGTCATCTTATTCAAAATGACGGTAGGTGCACCAAGTAACGAATCTGTGTATCCATTTATGTGCAAAGCAAAACAGAAACATCCTTCTAAAATCGGTGAAGAATAATAATCGAAACAGTGAAATCTTTTCATGAAGGAGAAGATGGGAATTCAAATGGTGAAATGAGATTTTACTAGTGTCGTAGATCCCTAGTCTTAGGGTTGGTTGTAATCTGGCAAAGTTTCATGCTTTTATCATAAAAGTGAACAATTTTGGTTGATAACAGCTGCACTAAGAAGGTGAATGCAACAACACTCACCCATAAAATTCCAAATAAACCTAAGCAGTGGGGAAAATACATCTCCAACCTTCAGAAGAAAGCAAACCTCTGCGACTTCTTGACAAAGTTAGTGTGCAAACTTGCGCAAAAAGAGCTAGCAGAGAGTAAATTACTGATCATTGGAGAAGGGCTTAAAGACGGAGTAAGATGTGTAAGCTCCACGAGAGGTCGCCTCTATGATATTGAATGCCTTAAGTAGAACAAGGAGGAAGCAGACACAAGATTGCTGCTTTATGCTAGGTATGCAGCAACTGCAGAAACAAAGATCGTCTTCCATTCCCCCGATACAAAGGTGCTTTTATTGAGTGCAGTTCATTTTGATCGTCTTGGCTGCGAGGAAATATGGCTTCGCTCTGGCGTGAAACTGATCGTCTACGAGTTATTCCTATACACCAAGTCTCCCGAGCATTGGGCCAAAAAAGGTGTGACGCTCTTCCTATAACAAGAATCAAATAACAAGATCTAGACGAGACGACAGCTACCTAGTCCACTTAGCCTACGGATAAAGACGCATTTTCGATCGCCGCTTTTCTCGTTATTTTCGGGTGGAGAGAGGGGACGACCAGAAATACTTCTGCGTACGCAGGCTAGAAGCCACAAAATGAGAAGCATTTATATGCGACCTCTACGTCTCCTCAAAGCGAACACCAAAAAACGCCGAGCTGAGATACTTCATGTTTTGCCAAATTAAAGAGAAAAAGAAAAGAAGTTCTACCATCAACGTCTGACAGTCTGCGACAGCAGATGAAGTGTGCTAGTTAACAGGCCTATGTTCGGTAACATCCGTTGCTGTTATGCAAGATCTCGTTCTACCAGAGGGATATGGTTGGGAGATGACAGATGGAAATATACAAACGACAGGCTTTCAAAACCATTGATAACAAAGTTGTTCTTGAAAAAATAAATAAATAAAAGCGCCTTGGCCTCGAATTGGCCTCAAATCCCTTGAAACGCGAACAAAAAACTAAGTCCGCTATGATGTACAAAATTATTCAAGAACTCGTTGACTTGAATATACATAATTATTTGCAATTCTCCAAGGAAATGCGAACACGTAACAGTCACGCGTATAAATTCCAGCTGACCTTTAGCTCTAAGAATGCGCTTAAATTCTCCTTTTTCCCGAGGTCCTCTAGGGAGTGGAATCAGCTCCCAGCAGAGGTCATGTTGTCTCCATCGCTAGCTGGGTTCAAGGAGAAAGCGACTACATTTTGAACAATTCAAACTAGCCTAGTCAATAATATGTCTTTTTATTTATTTATTTTAACAGTTAGTGTGATGCCTCATCGGCTTTACTAACTTAATAGAGGTAAAGGTAAAGGTAAAAGCACGAGTTTCCTTTATAGTTCGTCCCCATGCCAGTCACGCGTGTCACATGACTGCGTCAGCGTGACCAGTCACGTGACATGTTTTGCTCCCAAATAACAAACTCCTTTGTTATATTAAACAGTGGGCCAGTTACCATTTTTGAACGATTTTTAACAAAGAAATATGAAGTAAATGGTGATTCAGCCTTCAGCTTTGTTTTTATGCTGGACTTTAGGATGAGTGACAAAAACATGCCGTTTACTCAAAGCCTACACCACAAATTGTTTACTCTTGTTTGCCTACTCCATACCAGCGATCCTGATATTGGCCTGCTTGGATTATCATCATTATATTGTAATAGTGCTAAGAAATACCTTCCAGGTGTTTATTGTAATTTACTTTACACAACGAAAACTATCTTGCAAATTATTAGGCTTTAATCAGGACGTCTTGTTCTACCATAATCCGCTATCAAACCTTTTCTGACCCGTGGGTTGAAGGAAACGACAATTTTCCGACCTCAGCGTACTGGACTATCCGACAGATTGCAAATCCAGCGCTCTAACCACTCGGACATGTTGCCTCTACGCAGTCTCCCGACAGTAAATTGTCAGTCCCGCATATCTCAGGGGATTATGTATCTATAATCTTCGTCGTAGGGATACTCGCAATTCTTGCTTTGATGTGAACATGCCAACACTTCTAGACTGCAAAACAGTCCGTATTTTTGCGTATTCAAGTACGCGAGCAGTCAAACAAAAGGGCTGAAAACAGAGAGCGAGACTGGGGAAAGAGGCTGGCGTGTGAGGCTCGCGCGCTTCGCGCGCGTAAGACTCTTACGCCACGCTTTACCGATTTCTTTACTGATTTTGAGGAAAAAACCGACTGTTTTGCAGTCTACAACAATTCAAGCTTTGCAAGCAAAGGCAGAAGAGGCAATGGGAAAAGACTCGTCACAAAGAGAGAAAAGTGAATACGAAATGAAAGTGACTCTGAGGATGAATACTCTAATGAAAGATCGGGTAGAGATGATAACTGTGCAGGTAATGCCGATGAAAATGATGTTTCCACATCCGAGTGCATTTCAACGAGACATGTTTTATTCTATAATCAGACGGCAAAATCGAACACGATTGGCGGAGAAAATGCAGAAAAACATATTGTCAATTTCTTTAAACCACAACTGCTAGAAATGAAACTGAATTGGATTCATCTAGTAGTAAGTGCGTTTAAATGCATACGTTTACGTTCGGAATTACGGTCTTTTTCAGTTCCTGATGCTTTTCGCAAGGGCTCACCTATTTTGAGTAATAAACGGTTTCCGAGAAAAATCCTTCGAAAAATGTACCCTTTATATCGAAGGAATAGTTAACCTTCTTGTCATTATTGTCACTTTTTCTAACTCTGCCTTAGACTACGACATTTTTTTATTTAACAATTAATGAATGAGGCTGAGTATCTTATGAAGAATTATGGAGATCGAGGAGGGTGTTATCGGCCGAGACGGATAACACCCTCCGAGATCCCCATAATTCTTCATATGATACGAAAGCCGAATTCAATAACTGTTTTATTATTCATTCAAAAAAATTTCGTGGTTTAAAAACATAGCTAAAACAAGCTTACCTGCATCGATGTTAAGTTTATCTTCGATAGTTTACGTTTAGGTTTGTCCACTGAGCTCCGCAAATATTCTCCAAATAGCAGATGTCGCCCTCCGAGTTGTCTTCTTGCTGTTTTTGCTATGTTTCTAGCCATTATTTCGCCTAGTTCCAGCTGTAGTTCTTACTATTGAAACGAGTGAAGTGTCCGCCATTTTAGTTTTTGCGACTGAAAACAACTCAATCTCGTCCCCAGGTCTTCTCGGTTAACGGTGCATTAACCTGTAGAAGGCTGCATTTTTGACGACATTTCCTCGTTAAAGACAAAATTCCTCCAAATTTGGTAATCAGTAACTGGTTATGGTGAATTATGCGTGTGCTTTTAGCCAATCATATTTTGAATGAATAATAATGTCCATTAATGCGCACAGTCTGTAGCGCGTGTATAAATGGACAGTAAGACAAGGTAGAAGGTTCGCGTGTTTCACACGCGGGAATCTATGCATTTCGCGCTCTTATGTTTTTATGACTCAGTAACGAGAGGGAATCCAACTGGTTTGAACTCTAACTCTACTTTGACTGTAACAAAACTACTGTCAACAAATTAAGGAATACCCTAGCAACTTAAAAATTGTTCCTTACGCCCGGTTCAAAGGTCGCATCATATGTGCTGAATCTAATGTAAATGAGTGAGAACAATAAATTTTCCTCACTAGCATTAAAGTCGGTACATGTCGATACGTTGGACGTTTTAACCTGGCCTTAGTTGCTACGGGTACGTAAGGTTCATACGAGGGCGGAGTAGATACATGTACGGACTAATTTATTTAAAAATGGTTCTTAATGATAAGGCACCAATTCCTTGCTTAACCAGCGTCTAAACGTATTCTTCTAAGATTAAACTTTGACTATCTATAAGCAGCGAGTATATTGAAATAAAACATAAAGTTTAAAGGTTCAGTTCCCTGAAGGATTCTGGTAAATAGTATGTAGCCGGGAAACCGTAAGCTTCAATGAGTAAGTCTGCAAGTTCGGAGTCATCCTTTTTTTCTTTGGTTCTTTGCGAAGAAGTCATCTTCGACTCGAGATACTCCTCAATCTCCAATTCTTCATTCAAGTGAGCTAACTCAGCAGCATTCTTTCCATCGGTTGTTACGATATTAACGTCAGCGTCGAGATCAAAAAGTGTTTTCACGATTTTCAGATTACCATGGATCGCTGCCATGTGCAGGGGAGTGAACCCTTCAGCGTCCTGGGCGTTGACATTCGCCCCGGACTTAACCAAAAGATCGACTATCTCGGGTTTGTTGTTTTTTTTGCTTGCAGTGTGAAGAACGGTCTCACCAGGTATTTCTTTAAAGTCACCCTCCTCAAGTATCTTGTCAATTGTGCCTTCTGGAGGATCCTTTCCCCGACCACTCTTAAGAACATCTCCAAAATCTGCCACGTCAAGACTGCCTCCATTCGTTCGCTTCAGAAATAAACCCAACAAATGTTTCTTCACCAGGACATAGTGCCACACTGCTCTACCTCTGTCTTTCCCTCGAACTAGGTAAATTCTGTCGGTAGAGTTTTCCTTGTATCCAATAGTTACATCAGCCTCGTTTTCAATCAAGAATTTGATGAACTGCTTTTGTTTGTTCTTTACACCAAGAAAGAGAGGGGTTCTTCCTCCTTTATTTTGAAGGTTGACGTTGCTTCCCTTTTTAACTAGAAGCTTGGTAATGTCAAAAAATCCGTTGCTGACAGCTGTGTGCAGTGGTGAATTGCCATTAGCATTTTGAGTATTTACTGACGCGTTCTTTTCCAGAAATAATTTGACAAGGTTTTGGTTATCCTTCGTCACTTCCTTGTGCAGTGGAGTATATCCATGAGCTGCAGGGATATTAGCATCAGCTCCATGATCCAAAAGCAAGTTCACTGCCATGAAGTTGTTCCAATCAGCTGATAAGATCAAAGGTGTAACTTTGTCATCGGTTCTTTGAGCATTAACGTTAGCACCAAGGTCGATAAGGGTCTCAATAAACACACCAGAAGATGAAAGACTCGCCCACAACAAAGGTGTGCGATTGCACAATGCAGGGGTGTTTATATCCAGGCCATCATTTAATACAAGCTCTACTGCCTTCTCCGCATCATTACCGTGTCTACACCGGTGCAGCTCTGACAGTGAATTGACTTTATCCACCATATTTCGGTTAAAACGTTCGATTTTGTGATGACCAGGCCTTTTGGTTTCAAGATTTGCGAGAGTATCAGCTACAGCTGTCGTTAGTATTTCGAAAAAACTGAGTCGCCCGTGCGCCTTGAAAAAAAAGTCGTAATTCCCTTCAACGACAGCCGCCGTGAGCATGTTAAATCCAGATCGAATATCCACATGCAAGAATGCCTTTTCTGCAAGTGACTTTAAACTTAACTGCAATAAAGAAGTTAAGGCGAGTCATTGTACTTAACAGACCTGGAATCTGAATCTAAGTGAGGTGATAGAAATAGAACAATAAGGATTTATCTGTAGTAGTAAAATAAAAAAGAAACATTTACAGAACACGACCGATGCTTGGAATACATTAACATCCATTGTTAGTTTAATGATGTTTACAAAATTGTGACCATAACAAAGGATGTTGCATAAAGTGAGAATAATAACTACTCACAAGTATTATTATAGAGCGATTCTACTTGACCCGTTCAAAATAGCTACAAATAAACAAAAGAAGACAGTAGACTTTGCATAATAGTACGTAATATTCTACTAACCCTTTCATGGGGTAAGTAGAATTACTCTTGTAGAAATACGTGAGCTAATACAACACCTTTTGTGGATGCGAAATAAAGATAAAAGACAGAGAAAATGAAATAGGAGTGTTCACCTAAAAGGTTGCATATTTACGAAAATTAAATCGTAATCCTATATAATGAGAAGGGATTCTTTGAGCCATAAAAAGAGAAGAAAAATACGCGAACGAGTGAAATATTTTCAGCACGAAAGGAGAAATTTCGTAACTCCAAGCGACCATGTAATTTTCGTTTTATTACATAAAATCCACCCGATGCAACAAATACTCTTTTCCGTTGGGCGTTTGCTTGGGTTTGACATCTCCCCAGCGTCACTCTCTCTGTCAGTTTGCCGCCGCGAAGGCTGAAATGTAAGGTCGAATTTAGCCACAAACTGTTTATAATGGCTTGAGGGCTTTACAAGGCATTTGGAAGCATACAGTTTTTCAATTTCCTAGTCATTTAGGCTATCTGATGTCCTAGGCTTGTTACCTAGTCCTTTGGCTTTTGGTTCCTTTTGTTTTGCTTTATTGAGAGTAACCATTGTTGTAGTTTTAAACACACAACGGCATTAAAACATGTGAAGCCATAGTTCAGATATCTCTGGATGCTTGAAAATAATCTTCTCAAACTTGTGGGTTCCTATTAGTCGGAGCCATCTTCGAATGCCAGTTAAAAATGAATTTCGAAAGGTGCTCGTCGATCCGCTCATGAAGAGATGTTGAATCAAGCAACTCAGAGTTTGATGTCTGAAAGAAATTATTCTGAATAACTCGACTTCGTATTGCTTGACAGCGAGCGAAAATACTGCGTGAGCTGATTGGTTTAAAGTGATATCACACATGTGTGGATATAAATGATATCACCGCTGGCGGGATAGCGCATTTATCGCCTCCTACCACTCGGTATGACACTAAATTTTACATAATAAAGTTAGTCATCAAACTTCATATATGGTCACAATTCTGTGAACTGGCGATGGATACTGATGTATCCAAAACAAGTCGTGTTCTTGAAATGTTTAACTTAACCTTTAATTTAAAAATCAAACTAGGTACTTGAATGTGTCTCGCTATTTTTCGATTTACTTTGTAAAGCATGATCATGACATAACCAAATAAATCAAAGGGTGCCTAAGGCTAACTTGTGGATTATTAATTACTGTATTTTAGAAATGAAAGCTGATAATGAACCTGCAATTAGTCTACCGGTATATTTTAAGTCTGTAAAAATGGAAAATATGTTTTTCGATAAAAAAACAAAACAAAATGAAAGTAAGAAAGAAAGAAAGAAAGAAAGAAAGAAAAGGAGAAAAATCAAGTTTCCGACGGTGGGAGTCGGACCCCGGACTTTCTTTTTTCTCACGAGGGGGAGAAGTTGAACTAGAATACCAAACTATGAGTACATGAACGACGAACTACAATACACAAAAAGGAAAAGGCATCAAAAACGAATTAATCAAGCAGCGATATGTCAGCTTAGAATGATTCACCTCATTAAAATCCCCCCCTTTCATACTTGAGTCTGTGACAGCTGTCAATAAGTTGAAACCGTGAAAACAATAATTTGCTGCTATTCTTAGAACCGCAGCAAATAACAAATATCTTACCGGTTGTTGGTAACTTGGCCTCGCATTACTATTCATGAGCAACTGCACTATGGAGTTATGATTGTGGCGTTCCGCTTTTTGCAGAGGGGTACGTTGAAACTAGAAGAAGCAGTGCAAATTGTACTTGTTATCTGGTTATTAATGTATTATTCAAAACACGCAAGAGAAAAAAGGACGAGCGTCATTAAACAACTAACACAGGCAACTTAATTAATATTAAAAATAAGGCCAGTTCAATAGTTTTCCCGATGTGAAGCCAGATTACCATTAAAAATGTTTCACTCTTGTGAAAATTAATCGCCAAACACACTTTGGGCTTAATTTTTTTTTTTTTCACTTCTTTCACTTTTTTAAAATAACTTTGAAAAGAGAAGAGATATAACTAGAATTTCAGTGAGATGTGACGCAGCGTTACAAAATGCGTTTTAACCAAACCTGAGTTGTTATAAAAGGTCACTTTCACATTGTAATGGGCTAAACAGAGCTAATATGTGTGACCTCAATTAATAAATCCCAAATCTTGCTCTCCTAGCTTACAACAACACAATTTATTAAAAAACCAGCCTATTTATTCAAGGCCACTAACGTTTAAGCATCGACTGAACTCACCCTGTCTTCAGAATTGACGTTTGCACCGTGTTCTAACAACAGTTTGACAACAGATTCCTGTCCATACCAACAGGCGAGATGAAGAGGAGTCAAAGAAAACTAACGAAAAGATAAACAGAGCAGGTTAAGAAGGTTAAAATTGGGAACTACCAAAATTATTGGTCATTATTATTCATTCAAAATATTTCCCCGATTCTGATTGGCTAAAAACACACGCATAATTCACCATAACCAGCTACTGATGACCAAATTTGGAAGCATTTTGCGTTTAATGAACCGATGACGTCAAAAGTGCAGCCTTCTTGCAGGTTAATGCACCGTTAACCGAGAAGACCTGGGGACGAGGTTGAGTTGTTTTAGTTGTGAAAACAAGAAATGGCGGACATTTCACTCGTTTCAAGAGTAAGAACTGGGCGAAATTATAGCCAAAAAACATGGCAACAACAGCAAGAATACAACTCGAACGGCGACATCTCCTGCGTGAAGAATATTTGCGGAGCTGAACAACTCTAAACATGCACTATCGAAGATGAATTTAACATCGATGGAGGTAAGCATGTCTTAGCTTAGTTTTTAAACTAGGAACTATTTTGAATGAATAATAAGACAATTATTGAATTCGGCTTTCGTATCATATGAAGAATTATGGAGATCTACGGCCTCGACGGATAACACCCTCCTCCATCTCCATAATTCTTCATAAGATACTCAGTCTCATTCATTAATTGTTAATTATTGGACTTAGTTTTACAGAGTAAGCTTAAAGCTATTTTACACCCTTTTAACAGTCGAACCTCCGCCAACGGCCACCTCTTTACAACGGTCACCTCTTAACAATGGCCACTTTCATATGTCCCCAAGGTGGCCGTTGTAAAGAGGTTAAACTGTATTTGATCCTTTTAGAGGTCAACCGCAGCTCTGATAAATCAACTTTGAAACTGAAATTTACAGTCTACAGGGCCAAAAACGCTAAAATTTCCTAACGAATTAAAAGTGAGTTTCCTAAAGAAAAAGTTTAAGAACTCGGCTCGATTCACTCCAATATCATGCGAAGCAAGAGCGAGGTGTCGAGGTGGGATCAGAAAAATAATCGTACATGAAACATGTACAGGCTTGCAATAAGCAAGGTCAGGTCCATATTACCCTTTTAAGTTTCTTAACCGGATAAAAAAAAACTTAAGTAAAACCTGATCTCTTTGATCCACATCTTCACCATCTTCAAGAAGCATTTTAACCGTCTCGCATTGTCCACTTATAGCAGCCTTGTGTAGCGAACCTCTTGACGCCTATTTTTTAATCAGAAGGTGAATAACATATCCATCAGTCTACACACCTTGTACTTATTTTATTGATTACATTAATTTGTTATAACAGATCTGACAGGCCTCTTCTAGGCCTAACTTGTGTCACAAACAAACAAACAAACTTGAATTCGAGAAAAATAGGTATTCTTTTTTATGGTTCTCGTTCATCGTACCATCGTATGCCTTGTGTCTGTGTCCTGAGCTCGCAGTAATTGACCCCCGCTGTTGCGGTGTCCCCGCCTGTGTTTCTGTGTACTCATGTACGCTATATTGTAGTTAAACTTTTGTAGTGTGACTTATCTTATTGTTTTGTAAACTTAATAAATTGTAATGACAAAAACGGTCAATGTAAAGTAATAAACAATTATTGGATGAGGTTTTTGTGATATCTGGAATAATCAAGGTCGAAGTAAGTGTTATCAGTCGAGCCGAAGGCCGGGCTGATAACACTTACCGAGACCTTGATTATTTAGGATATCACAAAAACCGAATCTAATAATTGTTTTATTAAACATTGTTTTGAAGAAAATAACGACAACCACACCGTAGCAAGCTAAGGAGCCGAAATGATATTGTTATTGGAAATCATGCACTGCGCGCCCAACCTACAGATTAGCCAGTTATCTGCTAGCAGATAACTAGCTAATCTGCAGGTTGCGCTGATTTCCAAAATTAGCGGTAGGCTCTTAGCCAATGAGAAGACAGATAATGAGTACAATGTATAATAATAAACAATTACCGGATGAGGTTTTTGTGATATCCGGAATAATCAAGGTCGATAACACTTAACTACAGTCTAATAATTTCGTTCACTGCCACGATCATTTCTTCATTTTCATTTCATTTCCGCAGTTCATATATGATTTAATTTCATATATCATTAACACTCATTTCTTTCACGGGAACATATGAACCCACAATTGACCTGCTCCCAACGTCAGTGGCTTCATAGCTCAGTTGGTAGAGCATCGCACCGGTAATCGCAAGGTCACGGGTTCAAACCTCGTTGAAGTCCCGATTTTTTTTTTTCAGGCTTCTTTACGCAATTGCATAAATTGCGTTCATTTTCATTTCATTTCCGCAGTTCATATATGATTTATTTCATATATCATTAACAGTCTAATAATTGTTTTATTATACTTTGTTTTAAAGAAAAAAAAGACTAATACATCGTCGCAAGGAACCTGAATTGATATTCTTATTAGAAATCGTGCATTGCACGCGCAACCTGCAGATTAGTCAGTTATCTGGAGATAACTAACTAATCTGTAAGTTGCGCTGATTTCCAAAATTAGCTGTAGGCCAATTAGAAGACAGATAGTGAGTACAATGCATAATAATGGAATTTACGCGGGAAGTTCAACATTTCTGTAAAGCCGAGGTTTATAAATTCGAGTGCGCAGCACACGGATTGAGCGTGGACACAAATTTCTAGTTCAAATGTCACCTTGAACGATATGGCCACTGTTTCAAATTTTCGTGGGCGAACCTACAGAGTTGCCAATCCTCATATCCCGACTTTTACCCAGCCTCATGTAGCCAGCATAAATACTGGAGACACTAATAACACATCAATCCTGTGAGAAGTCCCCTCATGTCGTCCTACTGTAACAGGGGCTCGCCATTGTATACAGTAAAATGACAATGTTGCCACTAATAATTAAGCTTGTGCTCTGATTTATGACAAAGTCGTTAATAATATGGAATTTCTTCATCTTTCATCGATTACAGTTTTCATATTTGTTTTCCTCTGATTAAATGGACAACATGCGCACACTACAATATATATATACAATTCAACTTACTTTTGCTTTCTCAGCTCTCTCCATATGGGTCAGAACCTGCTTCTTACCCTAGGATGATTAAACAAATTTGTTATTCATTCATAACATTTCGCGGTTTTTGAGCGGCTTTAATCTTCTGACTAACTCTTTATAACCAGCTGGCGCTGATCAAATTTAGAAAGATGCAAGCAATATACCTCAATGTCAAATCACGGGTGGCACTAAAAAAATAGCATAAGATTTCGAGAATTCGACAATCCTCGAAAACTGAAAAGAGACTTAGAGTATTCAAAACAAGGGTTTTCCGATTTACTTGACCTCAGTTGCTATTAAACAATAAAAAAGATCCCACCTTAAGAACATCTGAGCTTGTGTCGATCCGTAAAGAATCCACTCTTACTTGATCTGATTCAGTTGACGGTGAAAATCCACTGCTGCTTGTTAACACTGCTAACACACAATGAGATAAAGCTAGTTATCCCGTTCGTCAAAACGCATCCTAATCTTGGTGTTCCTGTGGTACAAAGCCACACATTTTCGAGGTATCGCGGGCGACTGCCGATTAGCCGCCCCTACCGTTTTTATCAGCGGCATCGTGACCGGGAAACTGGACTCTTCGACTGAATTTCGTTTCCGTGAGTGACGAACGCGGATCCGTAATCAGTGATTACCTTTAGTCTACCATACTTTCGTCACGCATTTTCAATCTTTCAGGTAATAAGTACAAGCTGTTTAAGAATTGTAATCAAATGTAATCTCGGAAGCATCAGCCTCATTCTCACTCAAATGCTATACCCTCAATTATAAAACACTCCACAACGGCCACCAAACCCTGTCTCTTTTCACCCTGGCCAAGTTGTTTGAAGGCTGATTAGCGGCGGCTAACCCGGGGTTAAATTTTAATCCGAGTTTCGTTTTCTTTCGTTCAAAAGCATTTCGTCGGATAATTTTTGCTATTCATTTTAGCGTATCCAATCATCAAATTGTAGACGAAAAGAATAAGAATGAACTGTTTTTTAAGCTTTTACATCCGAGTTCAAATTTCGCACTAAGCCTGGGTTATCCTAGCCCAACTTTGAACAATCCTGTCCTGGATGGATCTTAAACAGGACGTTCAGTGAAGAATGTGCCCCCGTCAATTTTGACCCACTGTTAAGTAAATGGTACTAATCAATTTGTTGTAGATAAATCTGTAACATAAACTGTAAGAGAACTCTCAAACTTACATGACTTTTCCATTAGGATCTTCCTGCAATTCCGGTAGTTTTCATCTTCAATTGTTGTCTTTAACCTGACAGTCTCCAAGTTCAGCTTCTCCTTTATGTCATTGGTCACAAGATATTTCTCAGCAATCTCATTAAGGTAACCTGACTGATAGTCACTCCACAAATGCTCAAGGCCCTCCAGGGTGGGGCACCGAAATTTTAATTTTAGAGAACCTACACCCACGGATTCCAAGGCCAAGTTGTACGCTTTGCGTATATGTTCAATCAGAGCAGACACTCCATCCGCAGTTGCAACCTTGCGATGCTCGATGAACACTTGTATGTGATGTGATAGAATGTCATGGACTGTTTCTTCCTGTTCATTACTCAGGTCCTGATAACTGTGCTTGATAACGATGTCTGGAAGTAAAAATGACACCACTGAGGAACGTATTATCATTTATTATTTTATTAAAAAATATATCTTCAGTTAATGCTTTCAAGAAGGCTCTTAAAACTCACTTATTTCAGAAGGCTTTTCCCAGCTAATTTATTGTTTTTATTCTCTTTATTAAGAAGGATTTGTATATAGGATTTTAAAGATTAATTTTTGTTTTTAAATTGTTATTTTTACTAATTTTTAGGAAGGATCTGTAAATTTTGTTTTTGGAATATGTACTAGGATTTTAGGATTTTGTTGAGTCAATGTTATGCGCAGATGAAAATTTCTTTCCCTGGATTGATATTTGCGCAATACAAATCAATAAATATTATTATTCAATAAATATCAAAAAAATTTCATACCTGGGTCACGGGAAGATCCTGAAAGTTTACGCTTACGGCTATTTTGAGACGGAGAGTCTGTATTTGTGGACATTTCGGTTTGATTTCCTGATGCAGCATCAACTTTCTTTTCAGAGTTACTACCAGGGGACGTTTCGGAAACAAGCCTATCGTCGTCAGTAGGGGCGTCTGTTCTTGGGTTTTTGTTTTCTTCCACAGAGGATCCTGTGAAAACAAACTTTCGTTAATATGAACTTAGTACGTGGCCTCGCTCTCCATGAGTTCTGCGTAGCTCAAGTGGATAGAGCGCCCGCCCGGTCTTTCGGTGTTTGGGAGGTCATAGGTTCGTAGCCTGTCAGGCACTCAGATTTTTTCGTTGTTCCACGCTCGTCACATGCTGATTATTTCACTTTCACATTTCAAACTTTCGTTATGACAGAAATTTCATTGAACTTATTACAGGAAATCAGGTTGATGTTCAATGGCTAAAAAAGGCTTTTGAGGTACACATTTAATATTAGTTTAAATTAAAACAAGAATAACTTTTTGTCGGAAGTTCTTGAGAAATTTTATAGCTAAGTATTTCGTTTACAATGTTGTCGCTAATGCTGAATGCACAGAGAGTTCTCATCAACTTATTCCAACGTGCTTTACCTCCCATTTAAAACATTTAGCGATAACTAATATATAGACTTAGCCAGGGCTAAAAGCGAAGCTCTCAATAATATTTATAGTTTATTCAAACAAAATATAAAATCATGTAATGCTAAGCGGCGAAGGCAACGCCGGAGAACGGTGAAAAACAACAATAGGTCTAATTAGCAAAAAAGCAACTTTGCACGTGCAACACACTTTTTTTGCACATTTCTTTGCCATTGTTTCGCACGACTACAACATGAAACTTCCAGGAACTTCTTAGTTACACGTTGTTTTCGTTCAATTTCAAGGCTGCTGCCTAAGAAAAATTTTAGGGAGCCCTTCGGGCTCCTAAAGTTTAAAGTTAGGAGCCCGAGCCACATTGTTAGGAGCCCAGTTTGAAATCCATGTATTGTTTTTCCAAGATCATTACATAGGTTATAGAGGTTCTTGCACACTTTAATAAGAATTCGCCGGGCCTAATAAATAACACGTAAACAAGAATTAACCGAATTATTTACTTTCATACGTTGCAAACTGGTACATGAAATCGAACATCAAGCACGTCCAGTCGATAGCACGCAAGATAGCTTCCCATTCTCGCCACAAAAAAGTTATCAAATCGACGAAAACCCAAGCAAACGATGAACTGCACGAATGTCAACATAGGCAACAAACAGCCCATAATTTTGCTATTCCATATTTGGAAGTCAAATCTCAGACCCAGTCTTCAACTGCCATCCGGACTCGGAAACGATGGCTTCGTTCGTTTCGACAAAGCTTCACAGTTGAACACGTTAGGTTTACATAATTTACGGTTTATTTGTGGAAATTTTATACTGCCTAATCGCATCATCGCTAACCATATCAACAGTTCCACTGTTTAAAGTCCTACTCCAGCTAAAGGAATATAATGTACAAGGAGGTTAAGTCTAATGCCGTGTGTTNAATTTTTTTTCACTGCCGCCCATTTTCACCTTGCATTGGTGGCCGCTAGCATTTCTCATTTTGTCACCGCCGTTACAAAATTTTCATGTTGTTCTTCCAACAAAAAAATGTCTCCTTTGTTTTTTATCTCTCGCTCTAAATCTTTGTCGCCCTTTTCTCGTTGAGCTTCGCTCGCCTGCCGCCTACTTTCTCTTTTTCTCTGTGTTTCTCTTGCTCTATATTCCAAATTTGTGGATATGACAATTAATCTAAGCTTAATACTTTAGAAAACACGGATACGGAGACAATTTCCGCTTTCCATTTTCCTCGTCATTGACTGTTTAGTTGTTTCTACTTTACAAGACGCGGGTGGCTATGCGATTTCCCGTCATAATAACCTCGAGTTGCATTTGGGTTGCCATACCTGTTGATTGCGTTTTTTTAAAATTGGTATGGCTGTGGTGCGGACGGACGGTCGGGCGGTCGGTCGGTGTACGGTCACGTGATTACCAAATTTCCTCGGATGGTTAGTTTACCACATTTTCTTACCCATGGTGCTACGCTGCGCGCGCTTCGCGCGCGATAGCTCCGTTGTTAGAGAGCTTAAGCAACAACGACGGCGACGGCTACAAAAACGTCACTTAAAAAGTGAATTCGCACCGCTTCAAACTTTATCGCGCTTATTCCATCTCGTTTACTTCGTCAAATGTTGGCAAATGTTTTTGGAGTTGAATTCTAAAGGACTGTATCAAAGTTCAGGAAAAGAAAAGAAAGTTGTTGTCTTGTGTTCCCGTCCTCGACAAAACGTGAATTCAGGCATTTTCACGTTGTAGTTGGGCAACGACGGCAAAGAAATGTACAAAAAAAGCGTGATTCACGTGCAAAGTTGTTGTCTTGCTAATCAAACCTATTGCTTTTTTTGCCCTTCTCGTTGCCGTCCGCGTCGTCGTTGCTTACCTATTAAGCTCAACAAAGGGTAGTACCTCAATTACCCAAAGGACTTTTCGGCGACCTGCGTCCAAGACCTCCAGGGAGTCTATTAAGACAAGTATAGACCATCCTGTGTCACAATAAGGTACAACGAACTAAATTATCTTACAATTATTACATGTACTTAAAATGTCCAAACATAAGCCAGTATATAGTTCAAACATACCATGGATCATTTTCCACATCCTCTCCACAAGAGCGTCACATTGCTTTCTCCAACTGTACATCTCTCCATAGGATTCTTTCAGAGCTTTGATCTCTCTAAGCCGCATTCCATGTCTGAAACGAACAGCTTCAATTGCTTTTGCCCACTCTGCAGGATCATCTGAATACATGATGCATGTATTACCATGAAGAACACTTTCTAATGCTTCGGCAAATCCTGACCTACTGCCCACAAGAATGGGGAGGCCTGCCGACAAGGCCTCAAGTGCGACAAGACCAAATCCCTCTGATTTTGATGGCATGATGGCAAGATCAGCTTCACATAGCAATTTTTTTATTTTGTCTCTGCGTTGTATAAATTCCCTGACAGTCAGCTGCTCTTTAGCAATACCAAACTTCAAAAGTCTTTCTCTAACTTCGTCTTGCTTTCCTTCAGGTGCTCCAACAAAGATCAGTTGATAACGCTTCCTCCTCAACCTTGGGTCTGTAAATACTTTGGCAGCAATGTCGTACCCTTTAACCTCGAAATCTTTCTCAGAGCCACGACCAAATATTAAAACTCTAAATTCTGCATTGTGACGAGAAGCTTGTTCTAAATCCCCGAATTCTCTTTCGAAAAGTCCTGGAGTAAACAAAAACAAGTCGTTATCATTTTTGCAGCCGCGTAAATACGAAGAGAAAAACTCGGTCAATCGCGGTCCAACAGGAATGACAAGATCGGCAAGTTCGCAAAGCTCGACTTCGACATCATGCTTTTTTTCACCTTTCGACAGGGGATCATTGTCATCTTTGAACTTGCTGAGGTCTTCTGGAGCAGTATGCACCACTTGCAGCCACTTACAGTTACTATATTTGACATTATTTCGTATTATCTGTACTTGGCGGCCAAGTTTCCTACCATGTCCAACGAGCACATCAATACTGAGATCTTTAGGTGGGCAGGTTAACCAATCAAGACGATCATAGTCTAGTAGTTTCTTCGCCTCGATAATAGTAACCCCAAAGCTTGAAGCTTCTCTTTTCTCATCATCTTTACAAACTCCCTCTGGAACCAACAATGTCACTTCCACTTTGGGGTGTTTTGAAAGGTTAATTGCAAGTTCCCTATTGAATGTGGACAAACCACCTTCTGAGGAATTCCACTCACTTCCCAGAAGGGTAACGTTTAGTACTGACCTGCTGGTAGAAAAACCGTCATCTTGACCTGGTTCTACTCGTGAAGTAAGGCTTGAGGTGGTGATCGGAGGACAATTATCAGCCTGCAAAAGTCAGATTAAAATAATAATTGTTTTATATGTTATATATTTTACCATCAAAAACCTACAACGCCGACATTTTATAAACTGATAATTTATTATTTGCTGAGAGGTTTCACTGCACCCTATTACTAGACCTGTCCAATGGTTCATCAAATACTGGGAATTCTCTGAATCTTGGGCTTAATAGGAATCAGACCGTCTCTAACATTAACTATCCCAAGTCTAACAAAATCTTAACTACCTACGGTCGCACATGAGAATAGGCCAGAACAAATCCCACATCAGTATATTACTGAGTACAACGCATATTTTAGTCGTAGCTTTTAAGGTAAACTGGAACTGGTAAACGCATATTTGATGTGCAATTAAGTACCAATATTAAGGCATGGCCTGCAGCCGTTTGAAGACGTTAGCTCTTAGCTCTATTTTCATGCTTGTGGGAATATAAACTACATGTACATATTGTTTCAAAAATTTTCAGCCCTGATAGGTTTTAGCGCTTTAGTGGAGTCTCAAACTCGCAATTCACCAGAAACAGCGAGCCTTGCACCTGAACGGAAAAGACTCCCCATAGGATTTTAAAACCGGGGACTGACAAGTCTCACAAAGTAGTCTCTTATACCATTATATTATGGTTACTTTGAGTCTAAGCTATAGTTCAAACGAGAACAAAAGAAATGCCTGTAGTTGATTGTCTAATTTTATAAGGAGGAAACTTTGAAGAAAACATTTCTTTCTAAATCTTCTGTGACTCCTAAATATTATTATGGTAAAAAAGCATAATTGACAGCTTCCCAGAAGCTTAACATACTGTGTTGCTATTTGATTTCTGTTTTTCAAATTCTTGATCAGAAGAGGCTGCCATGAGGGATGACTGAAAGCAAAAAACAAACAAACAAATTAAGAAATTGGACCTGAATATCAGCAGGAAAAGGCTTTTAAAGAGAACATTAGCCTTGTTCTGTTTTCAGTTATGGCTTATACATACAAAAAATAAATTTAAGGGTCTGCGAAAATTTAAAACGATGTAAAATAAACATTGAAGTTTCTGTCCCAGTCAAGAACAGGTACAATATGGCTTTAAATAACCAATACTTATATAAACAATACTTATTAGTATTTGTTTTTGCCATAGGCGTACGGGAAATGTTTTGCTAGGGGGGGGGGGGGGGGGGGGGTGGGAGGGGGGGACAAACAAGTTGGCCAAAAAAGATACGAAAAATCCAGACATTTTTACGAAATGGCCGATAAAAATTACAAAAGAAAAGAGGGACACAGATAAAAA